TCTCTGAAATAAGAATACACCTATTATTTAACTTGAAAGACAGCAATATCCTATAGTGCTGCTGAATGTCTTCCACTCCCTAAGAAGTGGGGTGTCCTGAGAAATTCCAATCTTACTCAAGTGAGGTGCTCCAGTTTGGAATCCCATGCCAAATTTGTATGCTCCGTCATGGCCTGGTATGAAGGTCTTGCAATTGCTGCTCCAAGACAAACCACGTATTATGATACAAAGAATAAAATAAATCCACATCCTAACAATCACTCATTTACGATGACAACTGACACTTGTATTTAAACTCCTTTCAAAGCACTCTAATTACCTGTGCTCTTACGTAACTGAAAGAAAACAAAATATTTAACAGACATTAATAATACTATTAGTAATACCACATTTTGTTCCAGTTCATTTAAAAGTATGTTAAGAGGTTTATAAGAATCTTTTTTCCTGAAGTACAAATTTCCAAGAAGTCAAAAGTATGACAGTACACACCTACTCCATTTTTAACCCTCCTTTTAGACATTTGCCTAAAGCATTTAAGAACATTTCTTGGTTGACATAGATAATACAATAAAAAGACAATGAAAGCTACGATTTTTATCAGTGCTATTTTGGGAAAGAAACTTCAATTACTAGGGACAGAAATCCAGGTTTTAAATTTAGTTCTCACCTCCTGGAGCCTGTAGTCACCATAACTTCTCCCATCATTTCCCCAGCCTGACACTGCCATCTATAGCAGTCTCGTGCTTGCAGCAGTGATGCCAGCACTGATGAGAACAGAATGTGTGGTCATGTTGCAAACACAAAGCTTTTTGTGAAAACAGATTTGGACTGTACATTAGTACAAATATTAGTGACTGATAACTTAAACTGGTGGAGTTTTTTCATGGGATTAACACAGCAGCTGACTGACTTCTAGTCTAGGAAAGGGAACTCTTGAGCAGGACCAACTACACTCCTTTTAGGGCCAGTTGGGTGCATATATGCAAATAATGGATTTCTTCATAGAAATAAGGAATGTAAAGCCATTCACTAGACACAGAAGCTGAGGGAACACTGATTTGGAACAGCACTACCTGCAATTTCAATCAAAGTTCAAAGATGTAAGTCCTCAAACATAGTATGGAGCCTGTCAGGAGCTTATGGTAGGAACTGCAGAATTTCACCATTTCAAAACCCTCCACGGGGCTGCATTCCTAATGAAGTTCAAAAAAGTCATAACACCATAGTGAAATTTATACTTAGACTCACAGGTATTCACTGAATAATACTGACTGGTGCCATTCCACCTCACAATGGCAAGTTCATAAAAACATACTCATACAGCACATAATCTATTCTTACCAGAAGCCACCAACACCAAGAATCTAACAGTATTCAGAAACAATTGCTTAGAATACATGAGAGATGATAAGCATCCCTCATTCAAGATGATATGACAATGGAATTAAGCAATATTCAGGAACACACTGTATAATAACAATGCTTTTTTACCCTGACTTTTAAGTCGAGCCCAGAGCTCAGGAGACTCAAGTTAGTACGTATCAGTGTAACTTCAGGCTTTTTTGAAGATGTTGTTTATATTTAAAATACTTGAACATTCACTAGGACAGCTGTGGAGCACAAACTTCCCAAGTTTTCCAAGTCCAAAATAAAAGACCAAATTAGCAAGTACAGGCATGATCTCTATGTCAATTCCACAAGAGAAGCTGAGAGATACACACCCCAGACCTGCCTACAAACCAGTGATAGTGGAATTCTCTGAGAAACAGTTTCTGTTCCAGACCTTGCTCCAACACAAACAGAAAAGCAATCTGCACCTGGACAGGTTTCACACCTAGGTGAGTGTTGTCACCACTACACTTCAAACTATGAACTTTGTGGGCAGAAGAACCTATTTTTCCCAAATGTCACATTAGCCCCAATCACTGAATCTGGTGGAAAATATTAAGTGAATTTGGCCTGAGTCTAGAAACAGTCTGGCAACAAGCAAGCAAACAAAACACCAGCATAAACTATCTGCCCCCCAAATTAGCCACAGATCTAGACTGGTTACTTATATCAGCAACAAGTATGTCCAAAATTATCATAATTATGCATAATAACATCTGAAGAGCTATTAAACATTATTCAGGTTTTAAGCCAATTCCAAACTACAAAGCATCATATTCACCTTGAGCAGGGGATGCAAATTACCTCCCATTTGTTCTCACAATTCCCTCTGAAGCATGTTTTATTAGTCATTGTCACAGACCCCAGGTTTAATTTAGCACAGCCGTTCCAACATTCAGTCCTCCAGGCCATAAAACTGAAAGCATATGAGCTGCATTATGAAATTCTGTCCTATAACAATAAAGTTAAAGCCACCGACAGCATTTCTGTACGCACTACAATAAGCAAACCATTTTTAAGTCTAACAAGAGCATTCCCAGTTTTACATTGTTGACCAAATTCAAACTGAAATCTATTATATGAATCACTGCTATCCTGACGATCACCTCTTCCAAGACTTTGATCTTAACAATACAAAATAAACTGTTTTTCCAGCTATGCAAATCACCCTCAAATACTGTCAAATAAAATACAGCTTTTATATCCCCAAAAAAGTTTTATTTTGTGGAAGTGTAATATAACATTTATTTATTTAACCATAATTACATACTATCAGGAGATTTTCCTCAGACTGGGAAAAACATAGACTAAGCAGTCCACATTTGAAATAGAAAATACCATTTTAAAAGACCTAAAATATTAGTGGTGGTAAAATTTAAAACCTCAAATACATAATCTAGAGTCTAGTAAGCTTGCAGAAGGGATTTATAAATGTCAAGAGTATTTAAGACTCACAGAGTCATTACAGCATTAAATAAAATAATATAAAACAACACCACAAAAAAAATGACCCATAGATTTGATTTCTTCCTGAGTGGAAGCTCCCTACAATTACTGCAAGTCAATGAATGGACCCGTCAGGTGTTCCCGTCATTATAAAAAGGCAGCTGCTATCTGGAAACATAAGTTAAATTATTTATCAAATGATCCTAAATATCATCAAATTCAGTGCAGCCAGTCATTCAAACAGCTTCTAATAAATTATTTGATACGGCTCTAATGGAAATCATGAGTTACTCAGAAGCATTTTCTATTAAGCAGCATCACACTAATATTTTGAAATTCCACCCAGACACGTCCAGAAGTGACATGCTATAAATCACATTAGAAATATATTCCCCTGCTTTTGAGGCATTATCAGCAACATCCAAGAATTTACACAAATTAAGAAACAAGTAATTTTGAGAGCTATTGCCATGGTGGAGAACACACAGATTTTTATTCTGCACAGCGCAGAAGATTTTTTTTTACTTTTTCCTGCTGGACAAAAAAAAGTCCCCACATCATTTACCACATCAACAGCATTATAAATATCAACCAACTCCAGAGCATTAAACAACGCCTATATAGTACAAAGGCAACTTCCCAGTAATAACAGGTTGTACTGTATTGTTCATGGCACATCCCTCCCCAAGGAAAATCTATTTCAAGACCAAAGCCAAAAAGCTGTCCTTCTATTAAAATGAGTAGACTCACTGCCATTTTAAGAGACTATATATGACACTGTTGATGGTGAAAAGACTCTAGCAAAAGTTGGGAGTAAACAATCTCAATTTCAGGTGAAGGAACACAAGGCCAGGGGACAGAGATGGGTAAATTATTTGAGACATTTATTAAGGAAAGCACCAATAAATAGTCTCCATCAGGCGTTTATGCATTTCAAAGTAATATGCTAATCTGCTATTAACCACATTCAAATAAACAGGAAATGTTAAGCAGATGTTTGGGATTAATAAATTTCTGATGTATAAGAATAAAAACTAGCCATTATATTTAAAATGATGTTGTGAAACAACCGGTTCTTTGGTTCAAAACACTAGCATGGCTTCCTCTAGTGTCTAAAACGACAGATGCACATGAGTTTGATCACCCATGGATGGATGTGAGGTGCACAGTGGCAGACTAAGAAGAAACACAAACAAATTGCAACACAGGAAACTGCCAATAGATTAAGGAAAAAAAACCAAAATAACCACAAAGATGGTCAGACACTGGCACCACCATAATCACAGAGACTGTGTAACCTCCATTCCTGGAAATAGTCAAACTCACACGGACAAAGTCTGAGAAACATTACCCAACTGGACTTCCTTTGAGTGTGGAGACAGAAGTTAAGTGACATCCAGAGGTCCTTTGCAATCTAAAATACTCTACAATTCAGTGCTTTTTTTCCTAAAGTTCCTTTCCTTATTGGAGGTGTACTTTTCCATTTTCATTTATGCTTCATTTTACACAAGTCTCCCAATTATTTGTAGGGGCTCCAAAATAAAAATCAGAACTCTGCTTTGCGAGCAATCATGACGAGGTAATTGATACAAATGATGTAATATTACAACATTTGGAGCAATAAGACCATTTTATGGTAGTTCTATCACCAGAGTCTGCTGAGAGACGGTAGCTAAAACAAAAGCGAAAGATTCTTTTACGAAGTAACAAACAGCTCTGATCCTTGTAGGCTGTTATCACTCCATCAGCCTGCATCACCCACATGTTGCAGGCGTTTGGAGACGAGTGACAGGTCAGAAAACGAAGGAAACGACAGATCAAAAAAAAGCTCGAGTAACCCTACAGGAAGCATTGCATGAATCAGGTGTGCACGTAGATCACACCTCGCGTCTCACACCGAAGACACACTGCAGAGGACAACGCCATGAGTACCTTTGTTCGCACGCTTCAGGGGTGACCTTAATGAAGATGTAGTAAAAGCATCCTGGGTGCACCTGTGGATATTAACCGGCCCACAGTTGCCTATACCACTGAAACATTTTTTTCCTCTCTAAAAAAGAAAAGGCTTAAAAAAAATAAAATAATAATCCCACCACGAGGCCTCCAGAACGAGTTTATTTCCCACTCCTTAAATAATAACCGTGCTATTTTTAAGACGCATTGTGATGGGAAGCGCATCTAAAAATAAGTTTGCTGGCGCTCGGCGGGCCGGTGTCGCTCTCCACGCCCGTCCCCGTCAGGGCAGCCGGCCCGGTCCTCGGTCCCCGGGGCCGCCTCGGGCGGGGAGGGGGCCGGGGCTGCAGGTGGGGAGGAGGCTTTGTCTGCCATCGGGCGCTAAGCGACAGCGGCGTCAAGGCGGGCAGCCGCCGGCTGGCGACCGGGCTCCGAGGAGCCGGCGGAGAGGCGCGGGCGGCGGAGGGGCAGGGGGAGACCCGCCACACCGGCATCCCCGAAACTTTCCTCCGGGTCGCCGCGAGGGAAGAGACGCCGCCGCCGCCGCGAGCCCCCGGAGCGGAGCCGGGGACCGCCCGGTGTCCCCGCCTCTCTCCCCGTCCGCCGGGCGCGGCCGAGCGCCGCCTCCCCGCTCCGGCCGCCCGCCATCCGCCGGGACGCGCCCGCTGCGCTCCGCCGCCCGCCGCCCTCCCCGCGCCGCCGCCCGCTCACTCACCCGCGCCCGGCGAGCGCAGCCACCAGCACCTCCTGCCCTCGCTCCCTCCCTCCTGTCAAGCCGAGCCCGGCCTCCCTCCGCCCGACCTCCTCCCGCCCGGCCCCTCCTTCGCCACCGGGAGCCGCCGCCACCGCCGCCGCCGCCGCCTGGGCCCTCCCCCAGCGGAGCGGGCACCGCCCCGCTCTCACCTGGTCCTGCCGCCGCCGCCGCGGGGGGAGCGGGGCGAGATGGGGACAGCCGAGGCGGCTCCGGGCAGTCCCAGCCAGCGGCGAGATCGCGCCGCCCCGCCCGGAGCTCCCTGGGCTCCTCCCCGCCGGGACGCCCCGGGAGGCGAGGGGGGCGGTGGGGCGGGCCGGGCCGGGAGCGGGCGCGGGCGGGCATGGCGGGCGCGGCCGCCTTCTGCCCCTCGGGAGACACGGAGCGACCTGGGCGTCGCGGCAGGAAAGCTAGGCAGCTTTCCCGGGAGAGCCGGCCGGGATCACGGCGCTCTCTCGGGAGGAGGTGGTAGGAGCCCGGCGGTGGGGCTGTGGAGCCCGGCTGGCAGCGGCGGGAGCGGCTGCAGGCCGGGCTGGTTCCCTCTGTGTCACACGATCCCAGTGCCGCTCTTCGCAGCAAGTGTGCCGGGTCGGATGACCCCGCTCTTGAGGAGGGATGCTCGGTGTGCGAAATAGAAAAGAGGGTGGAAAATGGGGGACTTCCAGGGAAACGGTAATGCTGGTAGTACCTGTCAGCAAGGAGCTCTTAATCTGAAGTCCTGGGTGGGGTGCGGGTCAAATATAAGGCGGAAAGGGTTAAATGGTTAAATGAAGTAAAAAAAAAAAAAAATCTGCAGTGAGTGCTCTGCGCTGTGATCGGGAGGAGCAGGAGCGCAGTGCCGCTGCTGAGAGGCATCCCGAGAACAGCGCTCCATTATTTGCTCGCCGAGGGGCTGGTGAAGAATGGGGGTTTAAGTCTGCGGCCTCAGGTAACTTAAAATGTGACAGTATGTGTGAAAGGGATCAACCATTCGTGTTGTTTTAGATCATTTGTAATAATACCGAGGAATAGCGGTAGGAGCACAGACAGGTATGAGAAGGTTGTTTATATAAAGGTAAATGTGTTTGCCTGGAAAATAAAAAGTTTGTCAGCTGTTAATACTAAGATATATATCAAGTTCTACTCAGCTTTAGGCAGATGGGCTTGTAAAAGCAGGTTGGTGTCTTTTTCCTACAAGGAACATGCTCTTGCTTAAGCAGCATAGCTGATGAGGCCTGGTTGCCTAGGGAGGGATGTTCTTTCTCCCTGTTTATTTCTACAGAGTCCTCTGGATCTCTTCCTCCTGCCAAAGTCACCTACAGTCTTTTCCTCCCGCCTGTATGCCAGGCTGACATCCATGTCCAGAGCCACCAGTCAAGAGATGTGTCATTACTCTTCCCAAATTCATAAGAGGCTTAAGTGAAACTGTGAAATTAGTGGTGACGTTAGTCAAGAGACGAATTGGGGTGTCTCTTCTACTCTTTGAATTCTCATGAAATTTCAGAAAATACAGTGTCTTTGAGATTTGTATCCCAATTCTCCTCTTGACTTGTCAAACTGGCAAAGGCTTCAAAATCTGTGAGAGACATGCACTGAAAGACAACAGGATGGAATAACAAAATAGTCATGTAAGCCCCATATTACTTAGGGTTGATTCCAGACTAAAACTGAACCACATATGACTCACGTTAGTTTGTCATCTATTGTAAAGTATATTTATATTACAGTTAGACACCTCTGTGGGAGCTAAATTATTGTGAATCTCAGTAATTACAAATGGTAATTTTTCAGCCAACAAGGATGTATGTAGCAGGGTGTCACAGGCTGGTGAAAAATTAGGTATTGTCTCTATATCATCCATACGCCATCTGTGCTGTGCATTACTGCCAGGCAGCACAGAGCCATTAGGGGAGGGTGGGTTAATAGACCTCTGCCTTTTAGTGCTCTCGGCATTCTGCAGTTCTTAAATGTTCTGAGTTGATGTCAGAGTGTTCAGAGTGAGGAGGTAACAGGGTTTTCTACACCATCAGCTACCTCACTGCTTCAGCCTTCCCTAAAATCTCATCTTTGATGTTCTGTAGGAAAACTGCAGATAAATACACCTGAGAACCACTATTCCCCTTGCTGTGGGTTCACATTTTCCATTCCCTTTTCCCGATTAACCAGCTTTACTGTGTTCCTCATTGTATCCCTTTACTCTGCACATGATGTATGTCTTGGTCTGGAGGTGTCTTATCTACTCAGACCTGTGTCTTGGGGATTATATTGTAAGAAAAAACAGAATCTTCATTTTAGATTTTGACTTTTATAACAATTCACTAGAAAAGGAAGGACACTCTGAGGAGGTACAAGAAAAACACTGTCATTACCTTGAATACCTATAATGTCTTTTCAGGCTGTGCCATCTTAGAGGTTGAGACTAAGCTCTCAGAAAACATCTTGGAATTTTGTAGGGGTGTAAAGTTGCATGAGAAACCCAATTAAATCTCTACACACAACTTTCAAAAGCCACTGGGAAACAAGAATTTAAAAGTTATGCAGTAACCTAATTTAAAGGTTACACAATATTCATCTCCTAGAGGGCAATAAATTAAATTTTGGCTGATTCCCTAGAGTACACTAACCAAGGCAGCTGAGCTACTATGGCATTGATAGTGATTGTGAATGCTGGGACAAAATTTCTACTATTCAAGGGAAAAAGAGGAACAGAGTGATAATTGTGATTTAGAAAGGACTGGATGAGCCCCTTTGTCTTCAGGGCAGCTAGGTTTTGTAATTACATTTAATTAGGCTATCTCTTGAAACCACAGGTTAGAGAAAATCTGATTTTCTCATGTTTGTAGAAAACAGTTTTGAGAACCAGTGACATCCTGCAGAAGGCAATTCTATCCCCTCTGTCCTTTTGCATATAGAAGGAGCATTATGACAACATAATGCTTTATTTATCTATTATTCCTTGAAATACTTGACTTTATTAAAAAGCAAAATCCATGATATCCTGTATCCCATATTTGACAAATACTAGAAGCAGACAAAAATAGGAAATAGCCAGGTTGTGGTGTGTTTGACAGTGAATAGAAAGGGCCAGCAATAATTTTGTGTCGCTCAAGTATCCCTCACCCCCATAAAATCCAGGAAGGAAGATGATGATGAAGATAATATGAGAGGTATATGTAGAGGAGACAAGCTGATGTGGAGGACAAATTGAACTGGAATTTGTGCAAGAAAGGTTGCTGCATGGAAGAGGAAGGAAACGAAGTGTATCTGATCTCTTTTGGCCTTATTTTCTATGATTTGTCTAATAACAGTGGCAGCTCTTTATAATAGTAAATAATAATACTTAAGTCCTTTGCAAGCAAATTAGAATACTTCTGTTCCTACAAGAATGCTGAAAGCTGAATTTCCAGCCTGAAGTAATTACTCACAAGGTGTGCATTCCTGCTGGCTTCAGGGCTGAGACCTGGTCTGTCATTTAATGAGCTGGCCTGCACACTTGTAAAGATCATGTGATTTGTGTGGAAGCTCTCTAAAGCTCAGTATATTTAAGAGTAGGAAGCTGGATTTTTAAAAATTTGACCTATGCATCATTTGGCCTTAAAGATGCCTATTTTGATGACTGAGGAAATATTTGAAAGCTACACATATCAGAAATTTTACAGCACAAGTTTTAATGAGAAGGAATTTTGTACACTGACAGAGAGTGATATGGAAGAGCAGTTTGGATTAATTTGGTTTCTTCATTTCTCAGTTTCCAAGGAAACAAGGAAACATGCTTGAAATGAATCTCTGGAAAAATAATTTGGAGTTGCAAATGGTAATTTATTTTTTGATTATATTAATAAATAGTTTTCCTAGTTTGGGCATTTTGACACACCAACGAGCAGAATACTGTCACACTGTATTTTGGAAGAGAGAGCAACTCTCAGCAGCTAACACAGCTTTATTTACCCAACTTTTCTGCTTCTCATTTCTTCAGTTAATGGTCTATCTACAATGAAGGACAAGGGAAACTTGCAGAAAATTTCAGATTAACATATTCAAATGATTTGGTATGATGGTAAGACAGAGCACTGTGCACCTTTCTGTTTGTCTCTTGCCTGCTTTTTCAAAGTGTACTGAGACAGTGTTCTTCAAATGCTGCATTACATTTATTTACACTTTGGTAGCACTCAAAGATCTACTGTTCAATTGTAATGAGTTCTGTTATATATGTGATTTTTCAAATTCCTTCGCCTAAGATAACACATGCTGTATTAGCAGAGATAAAAAAGGAAGTTGTTAGTGCTAAGAGTTGACACTTCCTTTTCCTCCTGATACTGAGAACTATTTTGTACTAAGCAGAGCTCATCCATTTCTTTTAATTTTGATCCAAGAAAACCTTGTTTCCATTCACTGAAGGCCAGGATCGCAGGAATGCATAGAAATTACATTCTTAAATACAGTCTCATATGTTTCCAGTGTCTGGAATGGATCTTAACTTTTAAAAGTTTGCATTTCTTAGCAGTCTTTTGTCCAAGAGTGTCTTATTCCAGCAATGAGATTTCAGGCAGTACTCTGACAGCTTCTGTCTTGTGAGATGGGTGAACTGACCTCTGCCAGTTTCTGTTGGATGGGCTGAGGGTGGACAGGCTGAATGGGAGGTGATGGTGGAGCTATGTTGGCATCTGTCAGAAGTGAGGAGGGGAGTAAGTTAGATGACTGCAAAACACCAGCTGCAAAACATGCCACATTCAGATTCATCCTTGGAGAATAATGGAGGAAACATCTTTCATCCTGTTCATGGAGTGAGGCACCATCTTGATGTACTCACATTGACCATGCTTCAGATGCCTACACAGTGTCTTCCTCAAACTGTTTGCTGTGCATTTGCATCTAATTGTATTGATTTTTCTGGCAGGAGAAGCAAAAGGTAGAAATTGGTTGCCAAAGTCTGAATAAATAAGACTGTAATTGCTTGTCCCCTCTGAAGGACTCAAGTATTCAGTGCAGTTTTCAGTGGCTGCTTACCTCTCTGTCATTTTTACCAGTGCAAAGAGGGGTGAAAAAAGGTGATGATTTATAACACTTTGCACAAGTGGCTTTTCTAATAGCATGATTTGATTTAGAGCAATTTTGAATAGGGTCACAGGTGATTGGGAAATAAACCTTAATGAAGCATTTATAGTTGTTTAACAGGAATTACAATACTGGACCAAGCACAGGAATTATTTTCCCCACATTAGAACATATGACAAAGCACACAGTAGAAGATGTTACTCTCTAAAAATGCACTACAGCAGCTTCATCTGCATGCTGCTTCCTTGATCTGCGCTGGTGAATGACATAGCTGTGCCTTGAATAAGATATACAGGAATCTAGCATTAGTCTACTTGACTGGGTTTGTGTGTAGCAGCATGACCAAAATAATGGCACAGAAATCCAGTGTGTTTTCACTTGTTAAGATTCTGGAGATGCTGGAGACCCTAATTTTAGAAGCAAGACTTGTCATGCTCA